GACGCCACCCGGAACAGGCGCGGCACCAGCTCCGTCAGCTCCAGCCCCAGGTCCTGCGCGATGCGGCCCACGAAGGTGCCGTGTTTGGCCTCCTCGGAGACCGAGTAATGGAGCTGGCTGCTCCCTGCCTCCAAGAATGCAAAAAAGAGAACCGAGAGGAGCAGGCGCTGGGATTCCTGGCCATTTACCCAGGAAAATTCCATCTCAAGTGCACTGTACCTTTTTTTTAAAACTTAGGATCTTGTCTCAGAGTTAGTAGAAATCTTCTGATCAGTCAGCCCAGTGCTACTATTTTTCAGTCGTCCGATGGAGGATACAGCTTCCAGTAAGAATGGAAGGATTTTTTTTCCCTCTCTCTGTTCTCTTCTTTGAGTTCTATTTTGTGGTAAAGTGCGACATCATGTGGCTCAAACCTGTAAGTATTTTTGTTTCCAAAATCCACACTACTAGAATTCTTGTTTTTCCAGCTTCAATATGTGTTTTATATCTTGCTGAATAATATTATATTTTTTACCACAAAGGTATGCATATTATGATCCTTAGTTTAACAAAGCACCAACTGTTTGAAATCCTCTTTTTCATGCAATTTTTAAGTAGAGATAACCACTTGTGGTTAATATACAAATATGCAATTGCAGTGTATTGATTAGGAAACTCATGATTGAGTTTGTGTGTGCCTTACAATACTAGGGGTTGTTATTAATGATTGCATCCTGTTCTTCGTTGGAATTATATTATTGGTACTGGATCTCAAGAAAAACAATACCTAGAAAACATCTGATTCCAAGAACATGCTATTGAAATAGAAACTTGAAAAGTGTTGTTCAAAGAAATTAAGAACATTATACTAATTTAATTGCATGTCTTTCTTGAATTATCTTAAGACTGAATGTGCAAGGAAGCTTAATAAGGAAATGTGAACTTGTAAGAAACAGCTTATGTGGAAAAGTGTTTCAAATCATTTTATTCCATAAGCAGACATAGTATTCCAATATATTACTTTCATCCCTATAAACTCCACCCTGTTCTCTAGTGTCTAAGATGTCTTGCTTTCTATTTTCTCTTCTTGTGCATATCTTGGTAAAACAGGATAATTTCCTACTTCAAAGCACTTTTTTTTCACTAAACATTTAAATTTCCCCATTAATTGAGTTCTTTGCAAACCAAATCTTCCAGTTTATAACCATTTTAAAGCTCTTTGATCCATGAGGAATTTTATGAAGAAACGAGTTTAACAGGCCTTTCCCCCATGCCACAACACCAGATTGAGTCACTTGTGACCTTTATTACTTTAATTTCTCTCCTGCTAATAATTGAATATGTATTCCTGTTTTGAAAGAACAATTTTTAAATATAAATTTTGTATTCTAGTAGCTAAATAGCTCATAATACTTACTTAGTACATTTTTATCCTGTGATATTCTTTGTCTCATAAAATTGTGTTAATTTAAGTTGATCATATAGCTAGTTAGAATATGCCTTACCATCTCTATAATTGTTCTAGAAATGTAAAAACATTCCAAAGACAATGCCCTAATTAAAATGTATTTCAGTTTCCATGTTTAAAAAATTTTAAGACTTTATCTTAATTTGCACACCACTTTTTGACATCTTTGGAAGTTTTTGTTGGTGGTGGTGGCAGTGGGGCTTGAACTCTGGGCCTGAGCGCTTTCCCTCAGCTCTTCAGCTCAAGGCGAGCACTCTACCACTTGAACTACAGTGCCACTTCCCATTTTTGACATCTTTGAATCATTCTGAGTCTATATTGCTGAATAGAGATGTCCAAAAAAATGCAGTACAATATGTATTCCCTACTAAACTTAATATGGATGGGAAGAGTTGTGAAAGCCATCTTCAAACTCTTTTGCCTCTAAAATCCTTACTATTTTCCTAACTATGTCTTTAGCACAAAAAAAAATCTTGTGAAAATAGTTTCATGCTCCCCCCTATAAAGAGACACACACATGAACATTTAATTTCTGGATAAAGAAAGAAAAGAAAGTACTTTCACTGTGTCCAAACTGCCCAAACGGAACACAAACTGAACCCTTTTACAAAAATAACTACATATTTTGAGGACCCTGGAAGAGAGTAGAAATAGGTCCTTTCCCACTTACTATATTTTACAGAATAGTTAGTTGCATATATTCAGGACACAACAAAATAAAATGGATATTTGTTTGAAATAAATATTAAATATTCATTTAGTGCAGCAGCAATGCTATAATAAAAACTTAAGAACATTCTAAATGTCCTTGCCAAGGGACTTATTAATAACAAATTTCAGGAGGAGAGCTGGATTTGAAAGATGAGGTTCCCAGACAAGCATTTTGGATGACCCTATGATTTACAACAGGAAGGTGACAGGACTAGGGAAGTCAAGTACTGAATAGAGTCTGGACATGATGTAGCTAATGCATGATGGACAAGGGGACAGATAAGGTTAGAATCAAAAATGAAATACAAGTAGGAAAACGGAGAAGTGAAGACAATATCCATTTTACATGTTGGCTTCCCCACATTATCATTGAGTGTTCATCAGATTTTACCTGGCAACTAATTCTCTAGGGAAATAGGATGGGAGTCCAACTACAAAAATGGAGAAATAAACATACACATGGGGCTAATCATTTGAAAGTAGTCTCACTTGAATGTTATTGGGGACACATATCTGAAGGTTTCTACGTATTGCATGAGTGGTTTTGAGATAATATTCAGAGGAAGCTACTAGTAAGGACATTGACTTAAAAAATTTCTTGACATTAGTCCCACAGTATTGTATACAAAAGATGTTAATGCATAAAAAGTTTTCAGCAGGGCTGGGAAGGGGGCTTAGAGGAAGACTGCCTGCCTCACATGCATGAGGCCCTGGGTTCGATTCCTCAGCACCACATAAACAGAAAAAGCTGTAAGTGGCCCTGTGGCTCAAGTGGTAGAGTACGTCCAGATCCAGAGTTCAAGCCCCATGAACGACAAAAAAAAAATGTTTTCACCAGTGCCATTAAAAAAGAAATGATACTAGTATGGATGTTTTAAGTTGCATACAATGCATTATTTTCTATAAATTCTTCAAAAGGCAATATTTAAAATGATATTTTAAAACACTAATTCAATATATTATGTATTAAATGCATTTCACATTAATATTTAAATATTGCTAGCAAAAATAGTAAGAAAGTGTTGGATGCTGGTGGCTCATGCCTGTAAAGTAGCTACATAGGAGGCTGAGATCTGAGGATCATGGTTCAAAACCACATCTGCCAGGAAAGTCTGTGAGACTCTTGTCTCCACTAAACTAGCAAAAAAAAGATGGAAATGGAGCTGTGGCTCAAGTGGCAGAGCACTAGCCTTCAGCAAAAGAAGCTCAGAATGGGGCTGGGAAGGTGGCTCAGTGGTAGAGTGCTTGCCTTGCATGCCTGAGGCCCTGGGTTTGATTCCTCAGCACCACATAAAGAAAAAAGCTGGAAGTGGTACTGTGGCTCAAGTGGTAGAGCGTTGGCCTTGAGCTGAAGAGCTGAGGGACAGCACCCAGGCCCGGAGTTCAGGCCCCACGACCAGCAAAAAAAAAAAAAAAAAGAAGCTCAGAAACAACTTTCAAGTCCTGAGTTCAAGTTCTAGGACTAGCACCAAACAAAAGTGAAGTAAAACAAAAATGCATGATGTGGCACTGTGGCTCAAGGGGTAGAGTGCTCGCCTTGAGCTGAAGAGCTCAAGGCCCAGAGTTCAAGCCTCATGACCGACAAAAAAAATTTAAAACAAAAATGCAATTCAGAATATAATATTATTCTGGGCTGGGAAGGTGGCTCAGTGGTAGAGCGCTTGCCTTGCATGCTCAAGACCCTGGGTTCGATTC